GACCTGGAGGCCCGCATCGAAGAGCTGTCGGAGAAGATCCAGCAGATCATCGAGAAGATGGCGGAGTCGCAGAAGCAGGCCGCCGCGCCCGCGCGGAGGAGAAGAGGGGGGGAAGGAGGCCTCAGACCGTGCCCCCTCTGTGGAGCCTCCTCCGCCCTCCCCCACCTCTTCGCTCCTGCTGCTCCCGACTCCTGGCCCGTCCTCCTCCGCCTCCTCCCCTCCGCCCCCTCCCTCCGCCCGTGCTCCCCTGCCGCTCGGAGGCCCGTGAGAGGCTCGTCGAGCGGCGCCCGTGCGCGCGGCCGCGGGCGGGCAGCCGGCGCCCGCGCCGGCTGCAGGCCCGCGCTCCCGCGGAGCGCTGCCCCTCCGCCTCCTCTTCCGCTCGTCGCCCCTCCGCTGGGGGGCCGCATGCGAGCCCTGCCCCCGCCCCCCACGACTCCTGAGGGGGGAGGGTGGGGCTCGCTTCGCCTGGGAGCGCCCCGAGCGGAGTGAAGCCCGCCATAACCCCTCAGAAGTCGCGGGGGGGCGGGGGCAGGGCTCGCGCGTGGCGCCCTATCCGCCCCCCTCCCCGCTCCTCCCGCTCCTCGGCGGCTGCCGCTCCCCGTCCCCCGGGGGCCCGCCGCGGAGCGTGCAGAGAGGCCCGCGGCGGCGGGGTCGGCGGGCCGCGGCGGGCTCGCCTTGCCCGCCCCATCCGCGCCCCGAGGCCCGGCAGGCAGGGAGCGCGAGGGGCAGCAGGGAGAGGACGCGCAGGAGAGCTCAGATCGTGCCGAACGAGAGGGGGGGACAGGGAAAGGGGGGGATAGGGAAAGGGGGGGGTTACGAAATCTGCTGCATGCAGCTGGTTTCGGCCTCGCCGCCAGGCCCACTCCTCGATACATGGGCGCCTCCCGGCGCCAGCAGGCGCCGGGAAACTCAGCTACGTGAGCTGATTCTCAAACCCCCGCTTTGCTATCCCCCCCTTTCGCCCGACCCGATCAGAGGAGGAAAAAAGGTACCCATACCTCTGCCCTCCGCCCGTTTTCCCCTGTTCGGGCCTCCTGGGAGGCCCTCGTCGCCGCCGCCGCTGCGTTTGCTTCGAAGTCCTGGTCAGAATGCGCCCCGGGAGAGGTCTGGGGAGTAGCGGTATGGGTACCTTTTGGTTTCCCCAAGAGCGGCCAGCCACGCCGCGCGACAATGCCGATGGAGATGAGGCGGCTCTCGCAGGCCTAGAGGTTGGCACCAGCACCAATTTCGGCGGTGTGCCTCCTCCGGGGGAGGAAGATCCCGATCGCGGTGATGGTGGCAATCTTCTGGCCTCCAGGGTGGCCGAAGTATTGCCACCAACACCAAAATCTGGGATCGTCTTCCCCCCTGTGGTGGCAACCCCTGTGTTGCTGTTGGCGCCCATTTCCAGGCCTCCGAGGCTTGTGCGCGAAGGAGTCACGGGAGGAACAAGAAGGTCAAGCATGATGATGGTCACGAGGAACGACGGCAGCGTCTGCCTGTCCTCCTCGAGCACTTCCTGGGTCGCGCGCGAGGTCGGGATCTTCTTGAGAGCGCTGGCCGAACGAGTCTGCAGGAAGGAGCCCGCGACCCCCTTCTGTGTGTGCACTTTGTTACCGGACATCCGGTACGCCGTCAGAGACGGCGGCGAGCCTGCGGAGGGCTCGCGAGATGAGCGATCTTCCCACTACTACACTGCTGCTTTCTGCTCCTGGTCTGATCTTCCTCAGCCTTCTCTCCCACCTCCACCTCCACACTTCCTCCTCTTATTACGATGCTTTTCCACCTCCTCGACCTCCTCACCCTCCTTAGCTTTCTGTCTCCTTCTTCTCTTCCTCGCCTTTCTCGCCACCTCCTCAGCCTCCTCACAGTCCCCTTCCTCTTCCTCCTCTTTCTCTCCCTCCTCCTCCTCCGCGACCCCCTTCTCCAAAGCCGCCACCGCCTTCAAAGTCGCGTCAATGGGAGACGCATGAGATACTCGCTGCGAGTTGGCGAACGCCGCCATCGAGCATGCCGCCGTGCTGGGGATCGGGATGTGCGAGCCACCCACCACCTCCTCAGCTCCCCCTCAACAACTCCTCCCTCAGACTCAAGCGCGGTGGTGGACAGGAGGTTGGCGAATCTGCCTGCTCGGGAGCGGGCCACTGGGGTGGCACCTGGGGTTTGTTTCATCCCCTACCACTTTCGCTCCCACAGCAGCCCGTCTCCCGTGCGCCCTGCAGCAGGCGCCAGCGTGGTGCTCGATCGGCGCTCGCTCCCGAGCGACATCTAGGGCCCGCCGCAAGCCCTTCGACGTTTTGGAGACTCTGATGCCAAGACCAATTGAGTTCAGCATCTAAAATTCACATGGAGAGGAGCGCACCACCGATATCAGCTACAGTAGCTAGCTAGAGAGAGGGGATGAACACGCGGCTCTCGAGACACTGGTAGAACTCAGCACTGGCAGAGCATGCTGCTAGTCCTGCTGCTCCTCCTGCTTCTTCTCCTGCTGCTTCAGCGCGGGCGCTCAGGAACTCGCGCGCAGGGACAGAAGCATGAGGGGTACAGGAGGGGGAGGAGGGCGCGAGGAGGAGGATGAGGAGGAGGAGGAGGAGGAGGAGGGAAGAGGGGGGTGATGATGAGGAGGATGAGGATGAGGATGAGGATGAGGATGAGGATGAGGATGATGATGATGATGATGATGATGATGATGATGATGATGCTGATGATGATGACGATAATGATGATGACGGTGATGATGGTGATGGTGATGTTGATGATGACGGTGATGAGGACGCTGATGCTACTGATGATGATAATGATAAGGATGACGCTAATGACGATGATGTTGGTGGTGGTGATGACGATGCTGACGCTGCTGCTGCTGATGATGGTGATGCTGATGCTGATGATACTGCTGATGATACTGCTGCTGCCGTTGTTGTTCATGATGATGCAGATGGTGCAGATGATGATTGTGATGATGGTGGTGCTTCTGATGATTATCCTGATGATGATGCTGCAGATGCGGACGATGATGCTGATGATGGTGATGACGACGATGCTGACGATACTGATGATGATGCTGATGCTGATGATGATGATGATGCTGATCACGTTGACGATGATGCTGTCGCTGATGATGATGACGATGATGCTGATGATTATGATGTTGATGCCGATGACGCTGATTCTGCTGATTCTGATGATGCGGATGCTGGTGATGATGATGGTGGTGATGATGGTGATGATGTTGAGAATGATGAGGATGCTGATGCTGATGATGCTGATTCTGATAACCAGGATGCCGATGATGCTGATGCTGCTGATGACGATGATCTTTGTGATGATGATGCTCCTGATGTTGCTGCTGATGATGCTGACGATGATATTGTTGATGATGCTGATGATGCTGATGATGATGACGATGATGATGATGATGATGATGATGATGATGGTGCAGGACGACGGCGATGATGATGCTACTTATGATGATGGTGGTGGTGGGTGGTGGTGGTGGTGGCGATGATGCTGACGACCGCGACGATCGTGATGATGCTGAGGATGATCATGATGAGGCTGACGATGATTCTGCTGCTGCTGGTGATGAGGCTGATGGGGACAATCTGATGGTGCTGGTGATGATGATGCTGATGGTGCAGCTGATGCTGCTGCTGATGATGGTGATGATCGTGGTGATGATTATGCTGCTGCTGGTCATGATGACGTAGTAATGATGACGATGGTGATGGTGCTGGTGATGGTGATGCTGATTCTGATAATGCTTATGATGAGGATGCTGGCGATGATGATGCTGATGATGATGATGATGGTGATGACCCTGATGATGATCATACGGATGATGCTGATCATGATCATGCTTAGGATGATGCTGATGATGAGGCTGCTGACGGTGATGATGATCACGATGATGATGCTGCTGATGATGATGATGATAGCGATGCAGATGATGATGATGATGCTGATGATGATGATGATGCTGATCATGATCATGCTGATGATGATGGTGATGATGATGATGATGATGCTGATGGCGCTGATGCTGATGATTATGCTCATGATGCTGGTGGAGTGTATGATGCTGTTGATTATGAAGATGTTGTTGTTGATGCTGCTGCTGCTGATGATGATGATGATGATGATGATGCCGATGTCGATGCCGATGACGATGACGATGACAATGACGATTCTGATGATGATGATTATGCTGATGCTGATGCTGCTGCTGCTGCTTCCGATGACAATGACGATTGGTGATGATGATGCTGCTGCTGCTGCTGATGATGATGATGATGATGATGATGCTGATGATAATGACGACGATGATGCTGATGATGCTGATGCTGCTGCTGCTGCTGATGATGATGATGATTATTGATGACGCTGATGATGGTGACGCTGCTGCTGCTGATGATGATGATGCTGATGTTGATGATGATGATGCTGACGATGTTGATGCTGATGCTGATGCTGCTGCTGCTGCTGCTGCTGCTGATGATGATGATGATGATGATGATGAGGATGAGGATGAGGATGAGGATGAGGATGATGAGTATGAGCAAGATGTGGAGGTGGTATAGGAGGACGATGAGGAGGAGGAGCAGGATGAGGAGGAGGAGGAGGAGGAGGAGGAGCGACGTGTGGTGTTGGGCAGAGGGGAGGAGTGCTCGAGGAAGGAGGGCAGCGGGATGAGCGTGGGCTCGAGATGGACTGGGAGGGGGACGAAGAGGAGGAGGAGGAGGAGGAGGAGGAGGAGGAGGAGGAGGAGGAGGAGGAGGAGGAGGAGGAGGAGATGGGGGAGGAGGAGGTGGAGGAGGCAGGGGCAGAGCAACAGGATGATCGAGTTTTGATTTGACGTTATTGACTTGAACGCCCCTGAGGGGGCAGATACCGCCGCCTCACCATTTCTGGATCGTGAAATTTGTGTGATTGGGGGGTCCAAGACGGCGCCAGAGAGGGTATTGGGGTCCTCTTCGGGTTTCTTGGAGGTCTGGGGGCCATGTTGCAGAGCATCTGTCACAGGAGTGAGGTGAACGATGGAAACGGGCGGGGAAGACAGCAGTCCCAGTTAGTTTTTGGCTCCTGGAGGGAGCCCCGGG